CAATCGAGTAGTCGCCCGTGGGTGGCTATTTGGCACTTGCTGATCCCACATCTCGTTCCCTCCCTCGGCTAGAATAATAAAAAACGCATATAGTTGGCGCTCCGCGCGGATTTCTTGGATCCGCGCTGGACCCCCTCCCCTGGCGCGCGGAACGCGCAAGGGGTGGCGCCGGAGGCGCCGCCAGGAAGGGCCCAGCGGGGATCCAAGAGATCCGCGCGGAGCGCCACAGGTATGTGTTTGTGGCTTTTCTTCTTCGACTCCCGCCCTCGGCACTCTCGCCCTGGTCTGGCCATCGGGCATCTTCTGACCCGGGTCGTATCCAGACCCGGGTCAGTCAGGCCTGGCAGGATCCTGCAAGCTCATGCAGGATGCGGCAGGACCCTGCACCCAGATCCAGCTCAGTGCGACCCTGGCCCTGCAGGATCCTGCAAGATCGGGCGCTCGGGCTGACCCCGTCTGCATTGACCCGCGTCTCTTGAGCCCCGAGATGAGGAAACGATGGCGGTGCGGGTACATGTTCTAGAGGCCTCCCAGACGGGCTCCGAGTAGACGGAGTCGAAAGATCGCCGATGCATCGACGATGCGTCGACGATGTATCGGCGACGCCAGCGCGGAGAAAATCGGGCTCCACGTCGAGCCCCATCGCCGACGCATCGTCGACGCCGAGCGCTCCCCCGAGCCCATGTGCTCGGAGCCCCGACCCCATCGGGGATCTGCTGACCCCGGTCAGTCCAGACCCAGGTCAGTCAGGCCTCGCAGCATCCTGCAAGATCCTGCAAGATCCTGCACCCAAACCCGGGTCAATGCGAAGGATCCTGCAAGATCCTGCGGGATCCTGCACTCCGACCCAGGTGAATGCGACCCTGGCCCTGCAGGATCCTGCAAGATCGGGCGCTCGTGCTGACCCTTAGTGGGCCCTGGAAACGGCAGGGCCGCTTTTTCACCGTTTCCGAAAAAAAAAAAGCCCTTGAAAATGGAATCGGCCAAAAAACGGCGACCGGAAACGGCAACAAAAACGGCTACAGGATTGGAACCGGAGCGGGAACCCGTGAAAGAACGGCGACGGAACCGGCAAAAAAACTGCGTCCGAACCGGCAACAAAACCGGAAACCGGTACAGAAACGGCCCTTTCGCTTCCAGGGCCCACCGAGGGCTGACCCCCGTCTGCGTTGACCCGCGTCCCTCGAGCCCCGACGCCACCGCGGCCCGCGCGTGCCGGCTCCTCGGGCGAGGAGCGCCCCTCTCGCTGCTCTTCGGGCGCCCGAGGTGCCCACGGGCGGGCCTCCTCGCCGCGGGGCGCGGCTCGCCCCTGCGCGGGCGGTCTCGCGGGGGAGACGTCGGCCCCTCTCCCAGGCTTCGCTGAGGGGCAACGGGAGGGGGGGACTGGCATAGAGGGGGATGCATCGACCTGGAATCGGCGATGCATCGCCGATATATCTAGATATATTTACACATATACATATATATACATATATATATATATATATATATATATATATCGGCGACAGGCCTCCGATAATGAATCCGCACCTTCCTGGGCAGGTTGGAGATATCCGGCCCCTATCGGCGATCAATGGGCGATTGGGGGTCGATGCATCCCCCCTATCCCCCCCCATCGTTGCCCCCGATTCGTGGTTTTCGAATGGACCAAAAATTTGGGGCTCAACTCTGGGATACACGACGGGGGCGCGTCCATCCTCGATGGGGCTGCGCCCGCATACAAGGGTGTGTATCCCAGGGTTTCCCTCCTGTTCTGAGCGGCTGCATCGTTCGTCCGAAGTCGGGGGTTGGTGGAGAAAATCGCCTGGGACTCTTGGTGGGCTTTTTTTTGCGCTGCTGCCCTCTACGGCTGCGCCCTGCCAGGCATTATGTCAGCATCCCTGCCGCTGCCGCCTGCCCGTCGGTGTCGGTCTCGCAAGACCTCTGTATACGACAGGTTCGTGTCGTGCCCACTTCGGCGCTGGTTTCTGACACCGCCCGGGATCGTGCAACCTTGAAAGATCGGCCGTTTCCGAAACGTCGGGTCGCTCAACGTCGACCGACTCTTGGTCGCAAGCGGCATTCAACGCTGAACGCCGGCGGCGATCCTGGGGTAAGATCCCCCGTGCTGTCTGCTACCGCCCCAGCTCTGGCCAGCGAGCTAGGTCAGCAGAGGGCGTGCACCCAAATGACCTCCCAGGATAATTACCTCGCCATTAACGCCGCTCCTCCTTCCTCCCCCCTCGAATCCTCCCTCCCCTCCTCGAATCCTGACTCCCCCGTCCTGCTGGACGGCCACACCGCGCTCATCGGCTCCTCGCAAGCAACGGCGGCCTCTACAGTGGGGGGCCCGACCACAACAAACCTCCCACAACAAGCCCAACCCTGAGACCCCTGGACGTCCGTCGATCCTTGGTGTGGGAACGTCGCGCTCTCCATCGCAAAACCATCGAAACCCCAGACCCCCGACGTCATGATTTTTTCATAACGTCGCCCCCCACAGGTCTCGACCCATTCCCCGGGACTGGTTTCTCATCCTGATTCGTTGTTTGAGGATCCCGAGGCCTGGCGAGGGCCCCCCGGTGCCGAAAATGGCAGGAAACATCCCGTCATGTTTTTTTTCATTACTCGAGGATGTCTGGGACCCAAGAAACCTAGGGCACCCTAGAGGCAAGCAGGGTGTTTCTTGGTATGGATCTCCACTGTATGGGCGAAGAATGATCTCTTTGGTGCGCGGCCTGCCGGGCGCTGCGCGCGCTGCGACAGCAACAGCCTGCGTGCTTCGGTTTGCCCACCTACCCTTAGGTCGGGCGCGTCTCCCCCTACAGGCGGATTTTGGACGAACCATAAAATATCCCAGTGCGACCCTACCTAGGAGTTGGAACCCCTAGGAAAGCAGCATTAGTAGTAACAGTAACGCTAAGCTAAAGCTAAGCTAAAGCTAAGCTAAAGCTAAGCTAAAGCTGAGCTAAAGCTAAGCCACAGCTAAGCCACAGCTAAGCTAAAGCTAAGCTAAAGCTAAGCTAACGCTAAGCTAAATCTAAGCTAAAGCTAAGCTAAAGCTAAACTAAAGCTAAGCTAAAGCTGAGCAACAGCTAAGATAAAGCTAAGCTACAGCTAAGCTAAACATAAGCTAAATCTAAGCTAAAGCTAAGCTACAGCTAAGCTAAAGCTAAGCTAACGCTAAGCTAAAGCTAAATTACAGCTAAGCTCAAGCTAAGCTAAAGCTAAGCTAAACGCTAAGCGAAAAGCTAAGCGAAACGCTAAGCTAAAGCTAAGCTACAGCTAAGCTAAAGCTAAGCTACAGCTAAACCTAAGCTAAAGCTAAAGCTAAAGCTCCCAGGGGACTGGGGGGAACCGCTCCCAGGGGACTGGGGGAACCGCCCGGGGCGTGTAGCACTGCCCGGCCCCTTTAAGCTAACAGAGTAAGAACCCTTCTAGGCAGAGCCTAGGTAGGGAACAATAGTCCAAAAATACCCCCCAAGGCTCACCAATACTAAAAAAATCGTCCCCAGACCATTGTTGAACTATTTTTGAATATCCCTCCTGTAGAGGGGCAGGCCCGACTTACACCTACCCCCACCTGACCCCCCACCATCGGGAGAAGGCAAACATGGATCAGCGATCCATGGATTTGGCGCGCGGTCGCCAAATCCATTGACCAGGGGAGGTGCCCTCCCCAAAATGCGGCCAGTGCCGCCTCGCTCGGCGGCGGAAATCCACGATTCCCCACGGAAAAAAAGGCCCGTCGCGAATCCAAGCCCCCTGGATCCATGTTTGCGATCGCCTGACAACCGCGGCCCTGCGCCCCACGAAAGCCATGGACCAAAGGCCGCTCCCGCGAGGGGCCATTCCTCACGTGAGACTCCCGGAACGGGCATCGGAAAAATAGGTACCACGCCCATCAGCAACGGCTGTCCCAAATCGACGGCGGCCCGCGGCCGCTGTTGGGCAGGCGGCGTCTCCTCTCAAGTGGGCAACGTCCGCGGCGAGGAAGGCAGCGAGTCTTGTGCAAACTGGACACGAGCCGCTGTCGGTACGCTTGGCGTTGGGAAGATTGCGAGGCGGAGATGCATCCATATCCACCGCCTGGGAACCGACGTCCTGGTACCCCAGCGGGCGATGGATATGGATACATTGCGGCCCCCAGAGGCCCGGATCTATCCATACTCACCGCCCGTGGAGGACCGCGAAGATCGACCCCCTGGGCGGTGGTTATGGATACATCCCCGCCTCGGAAAGATGGCGGGCAACATCGATTTCCGAAACCACACCATTCCTATGGGACAGTCCGGCTGCGAGGGCCCCTTCTGTGCGAGCTGTCCCCCTGCTGGGGCTTCTCCCCCCAACCGTACGATCAATGCGTGCAATGAGGATGCACGATGAGCAAGGGCCTTGAAGGGCTATGTCGACACTTTTTGGGCGGGCGCGGCCAGCGACGGTGGCCAAGGATGGACCGGAGGGGAAGGATGTAAGGATAACCTTGGAAAGGCGTTAATCCTTACTATGCGCGTTGACCATATTCGCCCCCATGTTTCGAGTAGGGGATCGACTACAGCAAACATGTCCCCCAACAGTGATTTTGTTTCGTCGGATCTGCGAGAAAAGCGTCGAATACTCCGTAGATCTTCGGAGCATTCTATTGCATTCCCCGTGCACGCGGCGGACACATACTTCTCAGGTCGACCAAATCATGCCGCAAATCCCCTCCTCGAACTCCTTCCGTGCCGACTTCATTCGCAGCCGAGCCCCGCCCCCCGAGCACAGGAGCGGGAGTGCGACTCGCGACTCGGGGAAGTCAACGGGAGGTGACCACTCGGCGCACTGCGCGCGCGCGCCGGCTGCGCTGCCCGCGAGTCTGGCCAGTCTGGGCGCCCGCCACTTGGCCAACCTTGACGGCGTCGGTGCCGTTCAGCTCTGCGACACCAGTCAGGGCCCCGCTCGACACCTGAATCCGCCGCGGCCCCCTGGTTCTTGACTTGGAGACCCGCAGCTGTCAGGGGGGGGGCGGGCGGGGTCGCCTAGCCCGCCCTGCACCCCGCTCATGCGCAGGTCCAGCGCGCCGAGCCGCCGCGAGGCCTCGGCGCTGCGGAGCTCGGCCTGCTGCTCCACCTTTCGGGGGGAGGAGGAGGAGGAGGAGGAGGAGGAGGAGGAGGAGGAGGAGGAGGAGGAGGAGGAGGAGGAGGAGGAGGAGGAGGAGGAGGAGGAGGAGGAGGGGGAGGGGGAGGGGAGGAGGAGGAGGAGGAGGAGGAGGAGGAGAGGAGGAGGAGGAGGAGGAGGAGGAGAAGGAGGAGGGAGGAGGAGGATGAGAGGAGAGGAGGAGGAAGAGGAGGAGGAGAAGAAGGAGAAGGAGGAGCAGGAGCAGGAGGAGGAGGAGGAGGAGGAGGAGGAGGAGGAGGAGGAGGGAGGAGGAGGAGGAGGAGGAGGAAGGGGAGGAGAGGGAGTGAGGAAAGGAGGGGGAGAGGAGGAGGAGGATGGGAGGAGGCGGGAGGAGAGGGAGGGGGAGGAGAGGGAGTGAGGAAAGGAGGAGGAGGCGGAGGAGGAGGAGGGGAGGAGGCAGGAGAGGGGGGGAGAGGGGCGAGGGGTGAGGAGGCAAGCTAGGTGCGCAGGCGTCGTATCTGACGTCCTGCCCCTCCCTCCCAGCCCTTACCATTGTGTAGATGTCCTCTCTATTCGCACAGTCGGATGTCGAACCAGGCAAGGATCCCGAGAGAGGACGCAAAGCATGGCATGGCACAGCATTGCATGGCATAGACGAGCACGGCCCCAGCCGACGTCGTCGCGTCAAGAGCGCGACTCGTGTCGACGCAAAGGTCAAATGGAACCACAAATCCACCGACCCTGTCGGCGTGTGGAAGAGGCTGTTCTGTTTGACTCGTCGTCGTCGTCGTCGTCGTGCTCGTTGTCGTCGTCGTCGCCTTCGCCGCTCCCCTCCCCTTTCCCTAGGCCCGTCGCCGCTCCCCCCACTTTCACTGGGCCCTTCTCCTCGAGCGCGCCAGCAACAACGAAATTAAACAACGTTGTAGTTGAGTCGAGAAGAAGCCCCTTCCCTTTGATCCCTTCCCCGCCGGTGAGGGGGTCCCAGGGGGGGGGGTCGCCACCCACATACGAGTCCCTTCCGGGGCGGGGTCGCCACCCAGATACGACTCCCCACGGGCGATTCGGGGGCCCAGAAAAGCGCCTTCGTCGTCGTCGCTAGTCAGAGTCGGCGGCACTGGCCGTAAGGCCTTCGCAATTACACAGAACGTGAAATTCCAATGGACAGTTTAGACAGCGGGAAACACAACATGAAATCAGTGCTTCAGCGGGAGGAAGATTTCGAAGGACCGAAACGGCGGAAATGAGACCAGCGCTGCAGTGGGAGCGCGACTTACAAGGACTTGAAGGAATCCCAATTTTCAGATGTGACTTGTGATACAGGTATCTGCATTAAGTGAGACTCCATCGGCAGGAACTGAAGAGATATGCGGGGAGGCGGCCTTTGCGGTCAAGCCGAACCCAAATAAATAGAACGAGGCGGAGGAGGGACTGAGGGCGAGAACAAGTATGTTTATTATAACATCTTTACAGATAATATGGGATGGCGGCCGTCATCGGCCCCAGCCCCTACCCCCACATGACGTCACGTTTCGCGCTCGGCGGCGTCCGAGAATGCCTAGGGATGACCAGGGCCACGTAAGAGCGCATGTAGGTGGCGATCCGGACCACAGCGCCTGTGCACACCACATTTCTCGCGTGCTCGCGTGCACCGCAACGCGCGTGTACAGCGCCTGCGTACACCGCAACAGCCGTGTGCAACGCAGCGCCTGTGCACACCACAGTTCTCGCGTGCTCGCGCGCACCACAGCGCCCGTGTACAACGCCTGCGTACACCGCAACTGCCGTGTGCAACGCAGCCCTTGTGTACACCACAATGCTTGCGTGCACCACAGCGCCAGGTGTGCACCACACCGGATGTGTACACCGCAGCAACCATGTGCAACACAGCGCCTGTGTTCACCACAGTGCTTGCGTGCACCGCAGCACCTGTGCAAACCACAACGCCTGCGTACACCACAACATCCGCGTGCAACCAAGCGCTCGTGTACACAACAGCGCCTGCGTGCACAGGACAAATAGAAGGAGCATGTCGGTGAAGATCTGCTGCGGACATCTAAACAACGCCTGGGAACTGCTGCTGATCAGAGAATGCGATGTTTTTCCCTCCTCCCCCTCCTCCTTCTCCTCCTCCTCCTCCACCTCCTCCTCCTCCGCAATCTCCTCCCTCCTCCTCCTCCTCCTCCTCCTCCTCCTCCTCCTCCTCCTCTTCCTCCTCCTCCTCTCTCCTCCACCTTCTCCTCCTCCTCCTCCTCCTCCTCCTCCTCCCTCACCCTTCCCCCTTTCGTGGGGGTCGGCGCTACAGCGTACGTGCGCATCGCAGCGTGCACCACAGAATGGTCGATTGAATCAGTTCACTTGTTTCTCGGACGGCCAATTATGCGGGAGCCTTCTGGACGCAGATGGGAGGAATTAGGATGATACGGGAGGTCTCGGGAAGATTCGTAGATTCCACCGGGCCTCCTTTTTTCCGTAAGTATTCCTTTCCAAATCCTATATAACAAATTGTTATTTGTGTGGGATCCACAGGCGCTCCATTTTGTCATGCGGATTTCTCCTAAAATTCTATGTAAAACACTGGGCTTCTGTTGAGCACGGTTGCTGTAGTGCACACAGGAGCTGTGGTGTAAACAGGAATTGTGGTGCACGCGGGCACTGTGGGGTACACTGGTGCTGTGTTGCACACGGCTGATGTGGTGTACGCAGGCGCTGTTGTGTACACAAGCACTGTGGTGCATGCAAGCGCTGTGATGCGTGCAAGCACTGTGGCACACGCTGGCGCTGTATTGCACGCGGCTGCTGTGGTGTACATAGGCAGTGTGGTGTACACAGGCGCTGTGGTGCACGCAGGCACTGTTGTGTACACATGCGCTGGGGTGCAGATCGCCACCTACATGCTGCTGTTACCCGTCCTCGGTCATTTTAGGCATTCCCACACGCCGCCGGCGCGAACCGTGACGTCATCGGCCCCTCCCCGCCGCCCCCCAAATGACGGCCGTCATAGGCCCAGAATTGAAAAAACAGGCTCAAAAAGAAGAGATATGAGGGATGGGGGGACGGGGGGGAGGAGGAGGAGGAGCATACAAAGGAGGAGGAGGAGGAGGAGGATAAGGAGGATAAGGAGGAGGGGGCGATCGAAGCTCCAGGAATGAAGATCGGGATGTTTGACTGTTTCCTTCCCTTGTCAAACCTCTGGAGGCCCACAGAAGGAGCCGGGGGTCTCTGGAGAGCAGCAAGTGCCTCCGGGTGATCCTGCTCATCCCTCCTCCTCCTCCTCCTCCTCATGTTCCTCCTCTCTCTCTCTCTCTCTCCTCTTCCTCCTCCTGCTCTTCCTCATCCTCCTTCTCCTCCTCCTCTTCCTCCTCGCCCTCGTTTTGCTCGCTCAGTATGGGCCTCGGAACTCACCACGGCTGGACATAGCTCGAAAACTCGCAACGATGGCCTGTTGACAAGTTTTTATCATCACCCCACACAGTTGTGTGCTCTAGAGCGCGGATCTCTTTATCTTCGTCGTCGTCGAGTCGTGCCGCATCGTGTCGTCGTGGCCTCCCCTGGCACCCAGCCTCCAGCCTCTCTGGCGCCTCCTGGCCTCCCCTTGCCCCGCGCCCCACCCTTCCCCCAGAGCTTCGGAGTCCTTCATTCCAAGATCTTGAGCAGGGACCGACCGCAAAGGCATTTCTATAGGCCTACCACGCAATCTTCTGAGAACCCCAAAACTGTTCTAATAACAAAAACAATGTTATTCGAACATATCCCCGATGTGTTCAAACAAGACAGTCTCAGCCAGGAATGCTCTAAGAACAGTTCGTGCAGAATGCAAAGGGTCCTAGAACATTATTTGGTGGGCCTGTAGGCGAGCCAGAACGCTTCGCCACTGCTTGAGGATTATTTCATTCCAAGATCGGTCCAGCACGTCCATGAACTTACGGGAACAAGCAACGACATAAACATAACATCTCGGAGGCCCGTGCGGACCTCCGAGTCCTCCTGCTTGGATCGGTTTGTTCCCCTGGCAACCGTTTCGACACTGGGCGGAAAGGGGGGCGAAAGGGAGGGGTCTGGCTCCAGAACCCTTGCTTAGTGCAACTGCTTGCAAGAGTGCCGCCTCTGGGGCAGACTCCACCCGCTCGAAAGGGGCGCCAAACAAAAACAGCCAAGATCTACTCCATCGGGGGGCGAGGGAAGGGGGGGGGGGGGGGGCCCGCGCCGATCGGCAAAACAACAAAAAAGATTACCTAGTTGAGCCCCAGTTGCATTGAGCCCCGTCTCTTGAGCCCCGAAGAGGGGTCGAGGAGGGGGAGGAGGAGGAGCAGGAGGAGGAGGGGAAGGAGGAGGAGGAGGAGGAGGAGGAGGAGGAGGAGGAGGTCGAGGAGGGGGAGAAGGAGGAGGAGGAGGTCGAGGAGCGGTAGGAGGAGGAGGAGGAGGAGGAGGAGGAGGAGGAGGAGGAGGAGGAGGACGAGGAGGAGGAGGAGATGGAGGAGGAGGAGGAGAGGAGGAGGAGAAGGAGGAGGAGGAGGAGGAGGATCCAGCTACTCTCTGTCCGAAGCGAATCCTGCCAGCGACCACCAACAATCCCGCACGCGGTCACACCAACTCGCCGCCGCCGCCCGGCGCCCTAGACAGCTGCCACCGCCGCCGGGGAAGAGCAGGAGGAGGAGGAGGAGGAGGAGGAGGAGGAGGAGGAGGAGGAGGGAGGTGGAGGGAGGAGGAGGAGGAGGAGGAGGAGGAGGAGGTGGAGAATGAGGAGGAGGGAGGAGGAGGAGGAGGAGGAGGAGCAGGAGGAGGAGCAGGAGGAGGAGGAGGGGGAGGAGGGAAAAACATCGCATCCTCGGATCAGCAGTTCCCAGGCGTGGTGTTTAGATGTCCGCAGCAAATCCTCAACGACTTGCGGCCACCGGCACGACCGGGGCCCAAGCACTGCAATGCCGTGCATGGTGGGGTCGAACATCGACGCGTTGCCAGGGCTGCCCTGCGCCAGTCTTTGCTGGGCGTACGTCGTCTCCAAATGCGAGTCGTTCCACGCCACTAACAGGCCCGAGAGCAGGTCCGCGAAGCAGTCGCCGGAGCACTGCTTCCCAATGGCGAAGCACGGGCATGCACCAACTACTCGTTGCACAGAAGGCCCCCCATTTTCATGCTAAGGAAATTAGAAGTCCGCTGCCCCTCAGGATGACTATCCCAATAGCGTGACGAAGACCGCGGTGAGAGCAACTCACTGGCAATCTAAGCGATCGCAGCAGGAACCGTGCATGTATAGAAGCAACCAAGACATGGGGAAAAAGGACGAAGAGGAGGAGGAGGAGGAGGAGGAGGAGGAGGAGGAGGAGGAGGAGGGGGACGAGGAGGAGGGCACGGAGAAAGAAGGCATTTGCGTTGCGCGTGCATCCCCCGTGGGCCACCCGACCATTTATTAGAGAAGGCTCGGAACAACGACAATCAACAAGAAACCAGACAGCACATGTCAACTAAGATCCAGTGCAAGGTACACATGATATAACAACTCCCAGCAATCTGTCACGCAGAGGGTGGCAACAAGAGGAGGGGGAGGAAGGACAAGCATGCGGGTGTGGTGCGAAGAATAGAAACCGCACACTTCTAGCCTGACAGTGCCTGCGCACGCAGGGCAACGCTGGGTACGAAAAGGGCCTCGCCAGCGGAAGCGCTAGAACCGGGAGGGGGAGGCAAGGGAAGAAGACCGGGGCCGACAGTTGGGTGCGCACACTCACCAACTAAAATGCCACATGAAACCATACAAGAAGAAGGAACAACCACACAAACAATAACTGTTGGCGCTCCGCGCGGATTTCTTGGATCTGCGCTGCACCCCCCTCCCTGGCGCGCGGAGCGCGCCAGGGGCGGCGCCGGAGGCGCCGCCAGGGGCCTCCAAGCGCGGATCCAAGAACCATGCGCGGAGCGCCAAAAGTGTAGGTTCATGTGGTGCGTTCTTCTCCGAGACACTTGGGTGTGCACACTCGCCAGCTAAAATGCCACATGAAGCTGCACATCGCACGCGGGGCGGACGAGGGGGAAGGCCAGGGGCCGAGCGCGGACGGAGGCAGCGCCCGGGGTCGGCCGACGGCGGCCCCCTGACGGGCCGCACGCGCACGGCACGCGCGAACGGCGGGCACCTGCGCAGCCAGGTTCGGTGGGGGAGGGAAAGCCCAGGAGATACCCAGATACCAGCGGCGCAGCAGCAGTGGAATCGATAGCTGCGGCCGAGAATGAAGATCGCCGAGGGGTAGGCAGAGGAGCCTGCCCATCAGCTCGAATAGCAGAGCCAGTCATGCTCTGGACGAAACGCGCCAGGCGCCGAGAGGCAGCGAGTCGCGCGGACATGGTCGCAGAGTGAGGGAAAGGAAAGCTCAACTCTTACGTAGGTCGGGCGTGTCCCGTACAGGCGAATTTTGGACGACAGTCCAAACAGAGTCAAAAAATAACTCCAAATTCTCAAACATATTTAAAAAACGTCCCCATACTATAGTTTGACAATTTTTGTTTGAATATTCCTCCTGTAGAGGGGCGGGCCCGAATTAACCCTACTCGAGCGTTGCACTGAACCGTACGCCCTCCAGGCGGGCACAACAAACGGCGAAACCCAGCGATCCTGCAGGAGGGAGACTGGGCAAAGAGGGC